TACTACTAATAATATTCTAAATACTATTACAAATGTGAATAACTGTACTTTAACATCTACACAAACTGAAAAATCTCCAAATTTGAACTGTTCAACTAATAACTTAACATATTTTCCTAATAATTTGGATATAACAACAATTACAACATTTATCAATTCATATTTGAATAAGAACAACTACGAAACGAATACCATTACAAATAATAATAATAATAATAATAATAATAATAATAATCATGATAATAACAGTAATAATAATGACAATAATATCCTGCTAAATCATGTTGGTGAATCAATATCAACCTTGTCTGATCCGAACCAGATTAAAGCTTCACATGAGATTAACGACTTAAGTGATTTTATTTCTTCTTGGGTATCTATGATGTCACAAAGTAATTATCTTAATAACTTTCGGTTAATGGAATGTTTCAAACAATCCGGTAGTTTATTGAACCTGTTTAATTGTCATAATATTGAACAATTCAATGTTGATCAAGAAAAACAAATATATACAACTGATACATGTTGTCGAATAGGACAAAACAATTCAATGTTAAATAAAGAGAAAATTATTACCAATATTACCGATAATTATCAATTGATGAATAATCAAAATATTGATAATTGTCCAGTGAATTTACACGCTAATTATCATCCGGACTTGATGAATAATTATGATTCAGAATTATGGAAAGTTGAAGATTTTACACAGTATGAAAAAGATAATCCAATGAATTTTACTGCTACAAATTTAAAAACATCTGAGAAATTACAATTTAAACAATATTGTAATCAAGATAACAGACCTCGATCACCGTGTTGTGAATGTAGTTGTCATTCACAATTAACCCATGAATCTAAACATCCTCTAATGCAAAGTATACAACACCAAATTAATTCATCTCATCTAACTGACAATAATAATATCATAGAAAAGTTAAGAGATTATTCAACTAAACAATCAATAACTGGAAATTCTGATGAACTACCAACCAAGTTACATAATAAACGTCATTCAATTAATATGAAACGTTTAGGTGAACAACTGACACGTTTAAATCATTTAAACTCAACAGGAAATCATTCAAATAATAATTTAATGTTTATAAACAAATATTCTCCAATAAATAATAATAATAATTTAACAAAAGCGAATCTTATGAAAGATGAACAAATTGCTAATCATAATGAAGATATGAATAGGAATGATTATTTTTCTGCTGGTGAATGTAAGATACCACTGACAAAAAATGTAATGTTATCTGATTCGAAAATGGCGTCGAATTTAAATTCTTCAACAGTAAACACCACTTACAACAATAGTAGAACTGATAACACGAGTATGTCATCCTTACCGACGTTATCTATGTCAGAGAATAAATGTGTATGGATGCCCGTACCTGTGACTATGCTGAATTCATGGTTTAATTTACTATCGAACATAAAAGGTCTTAATAACAATTCGTTAAATCAATCGAATTTTATGACATTATCCTCCTTTTCCACTTCCTCCTCCTCATCAACATCATCATCAATGTCGTCAACATCCTTATCATCAACAGTGAATAACAATTAGACTGTCTTAAATTTCTAAAAATTTAATAATTATTGCATGAAATACATACTATCATTTACATTTCATTTTAGATGATCGTCAAATTTATACACATCCTCGTTGGCTTATACTAATTATTCTAAATACCTTTTGTTATCATAAGTGATATGTGTAAACATTCCACATATGAAAAATAGTTATATAATCATACCTGTACATTAATTTAATTACATTGAAATAATTCACTAACTAAAGTAAACTGACCTCAAAATTTTGAAAAGACAAAATCTAACAACCAATGCATTTGTTTATTTCATTATCTTTTTTTTCTAGTTTTAGTGAAAGAAAAACAGTAAAACAACGCTATTATTTCAGTTTATTTTGTTTAGCCTATAATTTTCTTGCTATTCTAAACGAATATACATTCTTATGAGTGATATTTAAAGTTTGTTTTTCTTATGCCATCCGAGATTCATGTTGATGTGGTAATATACTTGTATTATTTGTGATATAGCCCAATTATCATCCAATGATATCATAGAGTTACTTCTTTATTATTGACTACGGTTTAAAAGCTTTTCATTTAAATCAATAGAACGTTGGATTATTTATTTCAATACATGGATATTGGTACAACGAGGCACCAAATACATATGCGCCACACAAATCTCACTCGATATGTGTGAGGGCTTTGATACTGCCCGGGTGCCCAAATCGAAGCAGGCGGTTTTCTTAGGGGGCCGCTCCCCGAGCCCTCGACTTGAAGGTCTGATCCACAAGGCAGTGGAGCATCGTCAGGAGATGCAGTCCCATGGAAGCTGGTGACCAACAATTGGTTCATACGCCATTTGTTCCCGCAGGATACTGGAGCCCATGTGCAACATTGGTTTGGAATCCGGTTAAAGCACCGTACATTCGCTTTTCGTCCTCTCATTTTCGTAAACAACACCCCCGCCACGACAAGGCAGTGGGTAGGACTTCCCTGGCAGAGGCTATATACACGTGGCCATGTGAGAGCATTTCGAGAGGGAGAGCGGACTCTCCCCACTCTCGGCCGTGTTAGGGTATTTGTGGGCAAGTACATTGGATAAAGCGAAGCTATACTGTTTAGCCAATGGTGAACGCGTAAAGCGCTTTCAGGTCACGCGTTAGCTTTTTTTGTCACGGATCGACATCAGCCATAATGTAAGAATCTTAAACTGGATATTCTAAGCCCTAATCCTAGCATAATAAATTAATTATTTATCTTTGCTGTCTCCTGATTGGCAAAAACGGGCAACGATCTCAGGATTACTCTGGCTTTAATTAATGCTGATGATTAGATGAATGGAATGGTACAATCATTGAGTGATAACAGCTCACGAAACCAAATTATTGGTGTAAGTCATTGTGGTGTTTGTATGAAATAATGATTCCTCTGTACACACCTAGTTCTATTTGGTTTAAATTGAGCTATTTCGGGGATTTCTAGTTCGTATATTAATTCAGATACTTTTAATTAAAAGAATAAAGGTTTTCAGGGTTATTGATACGGAAGCCAACTTCTTTGGTAGTTATTGTACAAATAAATTAATAGTACCATATACTGAAAACTATCATTTTTGAACAGGTTGAAATTTATCGGTACGTACTTATGTAATTAGCTTCAAGGCTCACTTTAGTTGAATGAACGTTACCAACACTACTCGTCAACTGACGCGATTAGGACGTTACGTATGCCTAATCACCTCTTACATGGATAGGCGATGTTTCCTGGTGTGGGAGTGAATCGATAAGGTTAGGAGGGACCAATCCACGAGGTTACTAGTGCTGTTCTGAGTCATGTTGGCAGATAAACACTATATGCTTGCGAACCACACGAATTTGAGTGACACGGTTCATAGTGGAGATGCATTAACTTCTTAACTTTCTCCAGATCTTGAGATCGAATATTTACACGTATATACCACTGCGCTTTGTCTTTTTGTACTCTAAATGATCGCTTATCATTATCACCACTACCATTATTATTTCGACTCATTTTCTACTTATCTGGTTGAGTATATCTTGATGTGTTGATTTGGTATGGGAACTTGGGTTAACCATCATATGTTCCGAACATCATGTTAATTATGACTATCTATTATACTGATTTGGTTACTTCTACTGTTACTTTTATTTAATGGGATTGACTAATCAATTACAGGTTTGCACATTACGTTTCGAAACTCATTTTGTGTTAAAACCGGCGATGCTACCTGACACTCCAGAGTACAGTAGAGTTCGAAACTGTAGTCGAACGGTTCATGATCCACGTGCTATGTATGCTCGACCATCACCTACTTTTACAGAGGCTGTTGTAGTAGTTTGGAAAAGCGCTGGTGGGACCTAAACCAAAACATAACATCAGTCCGTGAGTTCACTAATTGCTAGTCTGAGTCCTATTAGAAAGTTCAGACTACCTGGTTAGGGTTTTTAGCGTTATCACCACTAATAGAATTACCTCGACTTTTGTTATTCATCTTGTTAGTTTCACTTCGTTGTGATGATGTGGTATAGAAATTTGGGATAACGCACATTTGTCAGGTTCAATGCTGACAATGACTGGTTGGTAGTATTGTTCTTTATAATAATCAGCGTTCAATGCAAACTATGTACTTGCTTAATAATTTACATTTACGTAAACCATTTATTTAAGGTTTTCACTTCACTACGCACTACGACGCTGAACAACATAGTATATAATAGACAAAAAGTGAGTTAAACATAATCAGTAAGAAATAAGGCGTATAAAAAAATTCATAAAGGATCCACATAAAAACAAAATATTACGACTTTCAAACTATAAAATCTTCGATCTCTCATAGTGTCTCAAAACAATGATTTGAGCCATAGAAACCGAATAAACAACCTTAAATATAAAATACACAATTTTCAGCAAAGTCGGGAAATGGGTGGTAGCGGAATACAGGACACGCGCTTCGTTTGATTTGAGGATCGCCGGCTAGATGTACCCACATTCTAGCGTTGATGCTTACGCTGGGACTCAAGTCCAGTACAATTAGACCTAGTTATCCATTGCGTGCGTTATCTACCGAGTATAGACAGATGCGCTTGTGCAACAGGTATGAGTCTTATTTCGTTTTACGTGTTTTTTTTTCTATTTATTTATGGGGTTACATACAGAGCACAATGCTGTACAGTATCCTTCTACAAATATTAAGTGGCACAGATTGATAAATATAAACGAGCCTGTTGTTAAAACGAATTTATAAGGTAATCAAGTGACTTTAGTTTTTGTGTAGGTTTGGGTACTAGCTTATGAGTCGCGTTTATGTTAAGTCTAATAACACAGCTTCTTAAACCCTGTCAGGTGTAGAAGGATTAAAGCGTGACACGGAGGTTGTCATCAGTTTTGATTTGTATAGTGCTATCTTGTTAGTATAAAATTGAAAACAAGTAAAAAGAAAAGAAAGTGGACTGATTATATATCTAAAAAATTGGAAGTGATATACATCACAGTGGTTTCTAAAGTTTATTATGTTATCTACTGATCCAACGGTACACCAGTTGCTTTAGATAACTCCTCCAGAGATTTTTGTGCCTGTAGAGCACACAATTCATTGTACTCTTCCAATCTTTTTTCTATAATTGCACGGTCACGTTCGGATATCTTCTTTTCCCTTCTAGTAAGATATTTTAAGCGTAGAGCTCCATAAACAATCCCAGCAGCTAACAATCCCCAACGCGCTGTTCGTATGAGTGGTGATACTTCACGTGGAGCGGGGAGTTTAGTTACATACACGGAGTCTTCCATCTAAAAAAATGGATCGAGAATTTAGTATTCAGTTCAAAGAGGAAGCAAAAAGCAGGTGAACGAAACTTTGGAACGAAATTTGGTGTAAATACAAACTCATAGCTTTTATTTCATACATAAAACAATATGAAAATCATATAATACCAAAGTCTGTTGAAAACGTTTAACCCAACTCCATGATAACGGAATGTCTGGTAACAAACCGAAGAAGTGAAATTTAGGCAAATTATGTAACTTGCCTTACGATTTTACCCAACGACAATTAGTCTTTTAGTGTTAAGACTACTGATGCAGTTGACATCTTAAGAAAGCTTACAGCAAGTTTATATAGACTAGTGTTGAATTTTAAAACGAATCCCCTAGACAGTTCAATGTTTACTTTTGTACTCCGCAAACCGAGTTACGTGCTTGAGTAAAAAACACTGTAGTACATAAATACTGGTACAATAGGGTGCCTCGAAAAATGCACCACACAAATGAAGCAATAAAAGAGAGACGAATCGCACAGACAAATAAACGAACAGGAATATAACGATGAGCATTGCTGGTTGGTTGAGAGGCAGATATATTGCAGTTTCTGTCTAAGGGTTTCTGAATATTTCGTCTAGTTATGTATATATATAAGATTATTATATATAAGGCATGGTATTGGATAAAGTTCCCAATTACTCTGATTTTATAAACAATATTTATTTGCATACGGACATAAAAGACAGTTATTAAAACATAGTTCTTTGCGTAGTGACAGAGTCAACGTGTGAGACAACACTCCACGTAAATAACGTACAAAGTGATCCTTGAAAATCACTTGTGGGGCTACTCGTTACATTTATCAGTGGGATAATCTTAGACAACCCAGGTCATCTGGTCGATGACTTCGTAATAGAATACAAAGAACGTCGGAAATACTAGTGGCTTATCGCAAACTATCGTGATGCATTCCATGTAAATGGAGGTAGCATATATTTTACTGAATAAATTAGTGTTCGATGGTAGGTTTCATTACTACACTCAAATGTTCTCCTAGACTGCGTATACAGATCTACACCGTTAGGATTTACTACGTAATCTTTACTTCTAACTTCAGAAAACTTTTCAACATCTTGTTTTTTGGTTGCTTCATAATACAAGCATTTAACGAAACGTTTTGTTGACAAACAACACAAATCCATATGCGATCTCAGGTCCACTTCCTTACTCACTATAAGAATGGACTGTTGGATGATGACATTTATTATTATGTATTGAAGTCAGAATACGATAATAGTGAAGACAAATTACACCTAAAAGAATACTAGAGTAGATTGTGTGGGTTATTCAAATACTAGTGACTGATGTGTTGGTGTTTGACGGAAATTCAACACGAATCCAGATAGCTCAATTGGCTTTTGCAAAATTGGATCATTTGTGACGTAGGTAAGATACCCATCTGTCGTCTAAAGGACAGGTGCACTACCCAGTTCTCTTCGTTTCACTTTATGGCTGTGAAACTTGGACGCTAAAATTTAGGGAGACTTTTGGTTTGCTAAGAATCGTTTATAGGTGACTTCAGAGCATCGCTCACATATTTTAGGACCATCCAGTTACCGATTTTGTGGTTAAACACAGTAAAAGGTAAAGATGGTCGATCGACCGACAAAGATGTGAAGTTTTATAGGCTGAGACGGTCAGGACATATACTACGTATGTCCACCCGCCAACTACATCGATGGGCGACATTGACTAGAATAGAGAGTTCATCATCTGTGAGAAAAGTAATTTCCATAGACATAGAGATTGACTAGAATAAGAGTAGGTTGGAAAAAAGATAAGGACAGCCAACTCAAGAGATGGCATCAGTCCATGAAGACACTGAATATTGGATTAAATCATGTAGGTAGAGAGGTGCAGGCTACCTGGTTCGAGTCCACCTGATCATAACAAATGGTCAGAGATTAGGTGAAATCCACTCACAATCGTCTTCAATGACTTAGGTCCATTCACTCTGTCCTCGATTCGATCCTATATTTCTAAATTCCTCGTAATCCTTTTATTTTACTAATTTGTATCTTCTCAAATCGTGTTTGCGATGCTTAATTTTTCCACTACCAGTAGTACTGTTACTGTCTTTACGACTTCAAAATTTGCGTTAGGGTATACATCTAGCAGAGCTAGTGGGGTGTGACAAACTGAACACATACCAACAAGTACTGCGTTTGTCTGACTGAGTAACTAAAAATTAATACTGATAAGAGCAATAAAATGAGAACCGACCAAAATATTAAGATTATTCCTCAATCAGTCAGGGGACTAATCAATCCGCAAACATACCAGAAATACTTTAAATTTATGACTTGAACCGTCACGAGATAATAAGTTGCAATTACGGTTACTTTCTTAAAAGGTTTTCACATCAGCGGTTAGGGTATGTAGAAGTTGCAGACTTCACTTACCATATACCCTATTTAGGATGCTGGCTTAGAAACATACCCCGAACACATATGTTCGGAGTATAGAATGTAAGAACACATTCGATTGGCATACATCATTGGTTAGTAGTACCTCTATGCTCTTCTCCAGATGAAGAATGCAAATTGCTGATATTAGGACAAGAGAATTCATCACGCGTAGTGAATTCTTTGGGAGAAAACTACCAATTTTCTTACGACTTTGTGGAAAAACCCCAAAATAGGGAGGTTTTAGAGTGAAGCATAGATACCGCTTGTTTTACAATTTGTAACCCACGTATACAACTGTCTGGCTAAGAATGAGCGTGAGAAAAGCTTTGTTTGTTTTAAAAAATTGACTTCCTAAGTAACAACATGACGTATAACTTGAGTTTTTCTGTATTTAACTTGGAAACATATGTCCTTCCTATTGGTATTTTAATGGTCATTTTAAGCGACTACTCAATGAGAACAATAAAGCTTGGTGTGTTATTAGTTATATTCATTTGCTAACTTAATTCCAATTGTTGTCGAATAGATTATGAAGCTAGTACTACATTAACAATCAATGCATATTTATTGTAAATAAGTCAGAGAGACTTTACAAAATATGGGAACAGAATTCAGTCTACTTCCTACAAACTGGCTTAGAGTTTAGCAGAACTGGAGACAGTCTACTCTCTAAATACAAGAGTGCTGACCTTGGCGCGTTCAAGTTTCGAATCAATCAGCCCTTAAAATAGTTCACGAAACCTAAGCAGGTACAATTGATCTCTGCCTCAGAAGTAGTGAGACGCTTGACATTTAATATAAAGTTGAAGAGTTTCGCACATTCTAATTGAAGAAAACAAAATATCATTCAAAATAGCGATGTTCATGGTTCAGTTGGACAGTTATATCGGGTGTAGCGATAAGTAAATTCCCAAAATCAATAACTCTGTAAATCATCTATATTTGATGCTGGTCACATTATTTTAACTCGGCCTGGAGCTTCTCTGGGGCTACTGCCGGTCCCAAGCCCGGATAAAGGAGGAGGGTTGGGCAAGGGGGTTGACGACCCCATCACGTAGAAAACTAACTCGTTAAAAAACAGCGCTAACCGGAAAAAATAATTCAACCCATTTGTAGTCTGTTCTAGGAGCTAGAAATCCTCATAGTGAAAGCCGTGTTCCTTCGGTAGTCATGAGGCTGATGTAAAGACATCATGAGACGACATGGACTGATGGAAAGAAACGAAAATGGTGGTTGTACATTCCTACAAAAGCGCATACACAAAGTCACACGAACTTCATCGTCTCACACTACACAGAACCGAATCGAGCAAATCGGCATCAATAAAAGTTCAGGAGGACAATGGACGATGCGTGAACCAAGAGAGGAGCTGATATAGCATCATATCATCACTTGCTGGTCGCCAAGATCAAACTGAAACTCAAGAAGCACTGGACAACGGGGAGGACAATATCACAAATGTTCAATACGGCCTTTCTTCGGGATACTGACAAACTCAGCGAATTCAAGATAGCCCTCAGCAATAAGTTCCAGGCCTTTTATGATCCATTCAATGGAGAAAGAACAACTATGGAGAGCAACAAGAAAGAGATGAAAGAAACAATAACTTCAACATATCACGAGGTTCTGTGCCACAAGAAGCACCATCACAAGGAATGGATCACTGTTGATGCACTGGATAAGATTCAAGAAAGGAGGAACAAGAAAGCAGCAATCAATACCAAACGAATAAGAGCAGAGAGAGCCAAGGCACAAGCTGAATACGCAGAAGTAAACAAGCAAGTGATAGGAAGCATCAGAGCCGAAAAACGTAAAAATTTGAAGAGATGAGCACGAATATCAGACAATTCAAAAGCGGCAAAGCAGCGGGACCAGACAAAATTCCAGCAGAGGTACTGAAAGCAGACGTATCAGTAACTGCAAAGACACTCCACATTCTCTTCAGCAAGATTTAGGAAGAAGGACTAGTACCAACAGACTGGATTCATCACTCTACATCAACTTCACCGACTACGAAAATGTATTTGATAGCGTGGACAGAACAACACTATGGAGGCTTCTTCGACACTACGGCATGCCTCAGAAGATAGTCAATATCATACAGAATTCCTATGATGGATTACACTGCAAAATCGTGCATGGAGGACAGTTGACAAAGTCGTTCGAAGTGAAGACCAGTGTCAGGCAAGGTTGCTTACTCTCACCCTTTCTCTTTCTCTTGGCGATCGACTGGATCATGAAGACGTCAACGTCTGAAGGGAAACACGGGATACAATGGATATCTACGATGCAGTTGGACGATCTAGACTTCACAGATGATCTGGCCCTTCTATCCCAAACGCAACAACAGATGCAGGAGAAGACGACCAGTGTAGCAGCAGACTCAGCAGCAGTAGGTCTCAATATACACAAAGGGAAAAGCAAGATTCTCCGATACAACACAGCATGCACCAATCCAATCACAATTGACGGAGAAGACTTGGAAGATGTAAAAACCTTTACATATCTGGGCAGCATCATTGATGAACAGGGTGGATCTGATGCAGATGTGAAGGCGCAGATCGGAAAAGCGAGAGCAGCATATTTACAACTGAGGAACATCTGGAACTCAAAGCAACTGTCAACCAACACCAAGGTCAGGATTTTCAGCACAAACGTCAAGACAGTTCTACTGTATGGGGTAGAAACCTGGAGAACTACGAAAGCCATAATCCAGAAGATACAAGCGTTTATCAACAGTTGTATACGCAAAATATTTCGGATCCGTTAGCCAGATAATATCAGCAACAACTTATTGTGGAAGGGAGCAAACCAGATCCCAGCGGAGGAAGGAACCAGGAAGAAGCACTGGAATTGGATTAGACACATTGAGAAAGGCACAAAATTGAGTCACGAGGCAAGTCCCCACATGGAATCCTCAAGGCCAAAATAAAAGAGGAAGATCAAAGAACCCATTACGTCGAGAAATGAAGACAGACATGAGAAGAATGAACAAAGATTGGGTAGAACTAAAAAGGAAAGCCCACGACAATGTGTTGGAGAATTCTTGTTGG